CTTGAGGGCAGAGTCTGTGTTTTTGTCTTTCTTTGTATCCCCAGAGCTTATCACAGTATCTGGAATACTGTAAACCCTTAATTAGCATTTGTTGGCTAACTTTTTATTTTTTACTTCTCTTATTTTTAGGAAAGGCAATCCCTACCTCTCTTTCTCCTTGGGAAAATCCTCTTTGTCTTCCAAATCTTACTCCAAGTCTCTGGGCTGTCTTCTAATCTGACAAACCTCTGAGACCTTCCCAGTTGCTGATTTTGAGAGAGTCACTTGGACTATATCTCCTAATCCCTACCAACTCTTTGGAAAGACACACCCTCCCCCATTCTCACATGCTGCAGATTACTTTTGCTGTCTACTCAAAGGCTTCCACTAGTCCACTCTCCTCTGAGTGAACATTTGGGATGAAGGATTAAGGCATGGATCTCCCAGTCAGGCTAATCAACCCTCAATCAGAGGCAAAAAAATTCACAGAGAAACAGAAAGAATAAGGTTAGACACAATAAAGAGACTCCTGGCAAGGATGGCTGTGGATAAAAAGTGTGGAAGCACTCCCTTCCTTGCCATTTGTTGCACTGTTAAAAGATTGTTTTGCTTGGAGTTGGGGGCAAGGACAAAGCCAGGTGCCCTGAGTTCTAATGTCAGACTCCCCAGGCTATATTCTTTGTTTGTTTGTTTTTTTAATTTTTTTTAAAGGCAGTTGGAGTTAAGTGACTTGCCTAGGGTCACACAGCTAGTAAGTGTCAAGTGTTTGGTCTGAGACTGAATTTGAACTCAGATACTCCTGACTTCAGAGCCAGTGCTCTACCCACTGCACCACCTAGCTGCCCCCTGGCTATATTCTTTGAACCAGGGTGAGGGATTGAGAAACCAAAGGGTTTCTCCCTTCAGACAAAAGGGAGAATTCTTTCTTCCTTCAGCCCGTAGGTGGAAAAGTAGCATATTCAGGAAAAAAAAAAAGACAGATGTGAAAGAAGGCTTGAGAAGGAAGAGGCATGAAAGATTCAGGATTAATTAGCTTTTTTCATTTTTCACTAGACAAATAAGGCAGTACTCAGAGCCAGGCAGATGGCATTAGGACCAGGCTCTCACTCAGCCCACCATCAGGCCTGTGCCAGAGGGAGCTGGGGGAAGGGATTGTCTGGGTAAGGAAAACCCCCAGTTAGACACCTCTCTTGTCATGCTACTGTCTCCTCCTCATCAATCAATTGGGCAACATAAAGCAGAACAATCCTGTTTCTGGTGACATCCCTCTGGAGCAGAGTAAGGGTGGAGACTTGGGTTTAGTGTTTTCTGCCCCAGGAGAAGCTAGAGCCCAGAAAAATAACCAGTGGTGCTGGGAGCCTTCCTTTGCACCCTCTCCAACCCACCCTCACTCCCAAGACTCCAGGGTCCCATTCCTGCAAAGATTTCTTTCTCCTCCTCCTCCTCTTAAGCCCAGTGGTAGAACGGGACTTCCCTTGGGGCTTTGTAGTCTTCGCTACCCCCACCCCAAATCTAGCCTCCCTTACTCTCTACTCCATTTATCTGTGCATCAGGCTGGTGCCAGAGGCTGAGGGCATACAGAAGACAGCCCAAGAGACCTGGCAAGTCTCCTGAGAGCCCAGGCACTAAGTGCTTGCAATGGAGGTGGGCAGTGGGCAGCAGTGGGAGCAATGAAACAGGCATGGAAGCAGGCCCAGCTGGACACAGCACTGTGGAGTAGGAAAGGGTAAGACAGCCACTACGAAGGTATCTACAAAGACCACTCCTCCCAGGCTTTTCCTCCCATTATGGCTCAATCTCTAACACCTTCTCCATTTTACAGAAAGAGATCAGTTTGGGTTGGGGGGGCAAGGGGAGCAGAGAGAGCTTGTCATCTCACCCGTACCCCCTGCCCTTTCTGGTAATGTCCTGTTGGTTGCCAATTCTTACTTTTTACTTGTATTTTTTTAATACTTTCAAAACACAAAACAGTTTCCTTCTTCAGCTTTTCTTCTGAGAGAGAAAAGACAAGCAATTTTCTCTCCATTGTATAAAGGAGAAAACTTGAGACCCAAATATTTCTCAGATCACTACTTGCCTGGGATCAGGAAATATTTAAATAATGACAAAGCTCTAGGACTTTTCTGTCTTCTCAACCCAGGTTTCTTCTACTAAACCCTCCTTAATATCAACTAGCCCCATCTTTCTCTTCAAACACATTTTAGCTGCCTCCCTAGGTTCCTGTTCTCTTGTTGAACCACATTTTATGTGGGTTAGGTTGGTGTAGACAGAAGACCCTTCTGTGACTACCTCTCATTTTTGGTCCTTTCCTTCCCAATCTCCAGGCTTTGACCCTATCCTACCTTTTCAATCCCCAGCAAGTCAGGGTGGGCTCTCACCTGTCTAGTATTGTGCTGAGTATTCGATGTTCTGTGCACTACACCAAGTTGAGCTGTACTTCACAAAGTTCATGTGTTTCTGTGCCTGTCTTTCCTCTGAAAAATGATGAAGGGTTTTCTGTCTAGTATTTGTTGCGTTCAGATCTCTCCCTGACAGAAAATAATTTCTATTTAGGGGATTGAGGATGGATGCAAAATGATCACCAACCAGCCTTGCCCTACTCATATGGTCCATCACCTCTCCACTGAAAGGAAGGAGCTATGTTTTATTGTTAGTATTCTGAAATCAAGATTTCACTACCTTCATCTGACTTCATGTGTTTTATAGTGGTGTGGGGTATGTGTGTTTGTTTGTGTGTGTGTTTAAATTATTGTGGTCATGGTGTATTATGTTCTCATTGTTCTGCTTACTTTATTCTGCATCAGTTCAAATAAGACTTTCCAAGTTTCTCTGAATAGCTCATATTCATTATTTCTCATAGTACAATATTAGAGGTAATTTTTTTTTGCTTATTGATAGGGCTTTATTCAATTCCAAAATGTCATTATTATAACCACCAGCATAATAATCCATAAAACACTGAATAGAAGGAAATAATAGGAAGATAGTAACTTGTTCTGAATACTTCTGTCTGAACTTCATTTACAAAGATGAAAATGAGTTAACAATAAAAAAGATAATAGCACTCACACCATCTTTTGTTTCTATAGTACTTGATGAGATTTCTCATAGCAGTACTCCAAAGGAGCTGGCCCAGTATCATTAACAGATGAGGTGTGGTGGTAGGACATAATGGGCTGAAAATGCCTGTTATCATAGGACCTGGGTTGGAATTTCAGCTCTGGGAATTAATTTTTATGACTTTGGGTCACTTCCCTGGGCCTAGAGGTAATATTTTAAAAGTAAGTAACATCTGCCTTGTTTCTGTTTTAAGGAAATCTACTTGCATTTCATAAGTATTATTTTCCTTTCCTAACCCTTGTCTATCATGTCAATACTTGTGGGTTTCAAGACTCTAGGACTCTGGCTTCTAGTTTGGTGATTCAAGTTAAGTAAATTTTATCTGCCCTCTCCAAGATTATCAATGACTTATTTGCTAAATCCAAGGGCCTTTCTCAAAGGTCATCCTTCATTACATTTTTGTAGAACAGAACACATCTGACCACCACCTCCAGGATACTCTCTAGGATTTTCATGATATTGTCTTTGTTGTTCAGCCATTTTTGGTCATGTCCAACTCTCTGTGAGCCCATTTGGGGTTTTCTTGGCAAAGATACCAGAGTGGTTGGCCATTTCCTTCTCCAGCTCATTTTACAAATGAGGAAACTGAGGCAAACAGGGTTAAGTGACTTGCCCAGGCTCACACAGTGTCTAAAGCCAGACTTGAGCTCAGGAAGATGAGGCTTCCTGATTCCCCGCCCAGGGCTCTATCCACTGCACCATCTAGCTGCCACAAAACTAGTGTTGCTATCCTTAAGTAAGTCTGTGTTGTTGTTCAGTGGTTATCTGAATCTTTGTGACGCATTTGGGGTTTTCTTAGCAAAGATACTGGAGTGGTTTGCCATTTCCTTCTCCAGCTCATTTTACAGAGGAGGAAAACAGTTAAGGGTCACACAGCTAGTAAGTGTCTGAGGCCAGATTTGAACTCAGGAAGATGAGTCTTTCTGATTTCAGGCCTAGCACTCTATCAACTATGCCACCTATGCTACCTGCTTAACTGATCCTTCTCAGTATACTTAGCTAGATCCGTATAGGTACACAACTTCGTGTTGGTCTCTTTTCTCTGCTCTCACTACCCTCTCTCAGTGATCTTATCATCGCACAGGGGTTCACTTAGCATCTCTGTGCTCATGATACCCAAATCTACACATCCAGTCCTCATTTCTCTCCCGAGCTCCAGTCTCTCTACTAACTGCAACTGCTCTCTAGACATGTTCACCTGGATGTCCCATAGATATCTCAGAGGCAGTATGCTCCAAGCAGAACTCATTGTCATCTCTCCCTGGCCCCCACCCCCCCAAAAAATTGTTCTTCCAAAAAACTTTCCCTTCTTCCTAACCTCTCTTTCTGTTGAGGAAACCACCTTCTTTTCAGTCATTTAGGTTTTCAGCCTCAGTCATCCTTGACTCTTTCTCCATGACTTTCCATGTCCATTCAGGTGACAAGTCTTGGCAATCCTACTTGCACAATATCTCTTACATCCATCCTCTTCTCTCTACTTACATGACTATCACCCTCATCATCTCTCATGCAGAAAACTATGCTATATAATTGGTCTCTGGGTTTTAAGTTTCTCCATCTGCCACATAGCTACTGAAGTGATGTTCCTAAAGCATAATACTGATGACGATGACAACCACAACAAAGATGACTACTACTGCTACTACTACTACTATGACTACTGCTACTACTACTGCTCCTTCTATTGCTATTGCTACTACTACTGCTAATACTACTATGACTGCTTCTACCACAACTATGACTACTGCTGCTACTACTACTATAGGTTTGTACTACTACTAAGGTTTGTAAAGCACTTTATATATAGATACATATAAGATCATTTGATTAAAACAATCCTGTAAGTTAGATGTTATTATTATCCCCATTTTACTGAGACCGAGAGATGTCAAATGGCTTACCCTTAGGACCACAGAGTAAATTTCTGAGGCAAGGTTTTCCAGATTCCAGGTCCAAACCCCACCTGTTTGCTGCATAGCTGCCTTGAGAAGCTTCTGTGGCTCTCCATAGCCTCTAGGATAAAATATAAACAACTCTGGCATTTAAGTCTTTCACAGGATGACTCCACCCTGTGTTTCCAGACTGATTTCACAATATTCCTCTCATTTAATCCACATTGAATGAATGAACATTTCAGCCAAATTGAACTACTTAGGTTCTTCCTATTCATAATATTCTCCTTCCCACTTCTTTATCATTGTACAACCTGTCCCATATTCCTGGAATTCTCTTCCTTCACCTTCATCTCTTGGAATCCCTAGCTTCCTTTTTGGCTCAGTTTAAGGGACACCTTCTACATGAGGCCTTTCCTGATCCCTCCTTGCTGTTACATTTTTCCCCTGCCACCAAAATATTTTATGTTTACTTACCTCTCTATCTCTCTTTCTCTTTGTATACATAGTTTCTTGTTCACTCACCACCCACTAAAATGTAAACTGTTTTTTTTTTTGGTATGTAAGCTCTTTTTGAGCAGGAACTCTGTATCCCTGGAGCTTAGCATGGTACCTGGCACATAGAATCAGATTTTGGGGAATGAAAGGGACCCCAACATCTTCTAGTCCAAAAAGGAATACTGTTCATAACATTCCCAACAAGTGATGGATCCTCCAGCTTCCACCTGAAGACATCCAATGAGAAAGAACCCAATAGCCTCCTGAGGCAGCCTGATCCGTTTTGGGACAGCTAATCATTGGGAAGTTTTTTTTCCCCGACATGAATTCTAATTCAGGCTCTTTGTAGGTTCTTGGTTCTGCACTATAGTTGCCAAACATAACAAGTCTAATCCCTGTTCCACAAGATCCCCTTTCAAATACTTGAGAACAGTTATCCTGTTCACCCTGTCTTCTGTTCCCCAGGCCAAAACATGGTCAGGTGCTACATCCTCATGTGGCGTGTGTGTTTGCGTGTGTGTGTGTGTACACGATGTTAAGATACGCTTGTTGCACTGAATTGAAATTGAAAAATTAGGCACAGTCACCACAGATTGGTATTCTTCTAAAAAGGCAGTTCTAGAACTAAGTATTCCTCATCTCACAGTGACTTGTCTGCACCATTATAGGCAGTGGATAGAGCCCCGGGCCTGGAGACAGGAAGATAATGAATTTAAATCTGGCTAGGAGACCCTGCACGAGTCACTTAAACCGTATTTGCCTCAGTTCCTCATCTCTAAAATAGGGCCACACTAGAAATGGAATTGGCAGACCATTCTACTGTCTTTGCCAAGAAAACCCCACAGACAAGTCTATGAGGTCCTGAAGAGTCAGACACAACTAAATGACTGAACAACACTAACAAGGTAGCACAGTGGATAGAGTGCTGAGCCTAGGTGCAGGAAATTGTAAATTCAAATCCAGACTCAGATACTTACTAGCTGTGGGACCCTGGAAAAGTCACTTAACCACTGTTGGCCTCATTTTCTTCCACTGTAAAATGGGAATAATAATAGCACCTACTTCTCAGGGTTGTTATGAGAATCAAATGAGATAATATGTGTAAAGCTCTTTACACTGTGCCTTATACATAGTGGGTGTTTAAGAAATGCTTGTTCTTTTCTTCCTTGTGGGGATCCTCCTCCTTCTTGTTTCAAATCTTGGTTTTTCCACTCTAGAATTCCTAGTCATCCATTTAAACCAGCTGTTTCTGCTTTACTTAGCTTCCCACCTCATTCCACCTTGCACTTTGGTTTGCACTATAACCTTTTCCTCTGGATGGGCACTCCTGGCTCCCTCCCTGGATTCCTGTTTACTCTATATAAACTTACAACATAAATTAGTCTTCAACAGTAACTCCCTTCTGACCCTATCCATGGCCAGAACTACTGGCCATTAACTGCTCGTCTGCCGTGACTGACAGGACTTTGTCATTGTCCTAATATCTGTGATAAAAGCATGAGGAATTAAAACAGCTAACTTTGGTATTAGCTGAGGAAATAGAAGTGTATTTGTGATTTGGCAGCTAGCTGGTATAGTGGACTCAAGCACTTACTAGCTGTGAGATCCTGGGCAAGTCACTTAATCCTGTTTGCCTCAGTTTCCTCACCTGTAAAATGAGCTGGAGAAGGAAATGGCAAACCACTCCAGTATCTTTGCCAAGAAAACCCCAAAAGGAGTCACAAAGAGTTGGACACAACTCAGAGAACTGATCTACAACAGGTGAAGCAGTGGATAGAGCACTGAACCTCACATTAAGAAGATTTGAGTTCAGATCAAGCCTCAGACATTTACTAGCTGGGTGAACCTGGGTTAGTTTCTTAACTGCTGTCTGCCTCAGTTTCCTCATGCCTCCCAGGATTGTTGTGAGGATAAAATGAGATATTTATAATTGCTCTGCAACCCTTAAAGGCCAGCTATTTTTATTAGCTAACAAAACTTGTAGGAATAGCTAGATGACACTGGATGACAGAGTCAGATCCAAAAAGATCTCAGCAATTTAGAAGATCTGACTGAATCTAAATCTGAAATTCAATAGCAGCAGATGCAAAATCTTACATTGCCTCCCTGCTTCTCTATCCTTATTGAGTGCCTCTGATGGGCCACTGCATCTAGGGACCCTGCCTTGCTTTACTTTAACCTCCTACATCTTCCCAACAACCACCAAGCTCAAATCCTCTGTTGACCTTTCCCTACTTGCTACTTATGTAACCGTAATGAAATTAATACTAATGTCATTTTTGAAGGAGTATTTCACTTCCCTATAACTTTACTCACCATTCCTGTAGCTTTCTAAACCAAAATATCCCTTCCTGGCAAAAATGTGCTATTAAATGTTTAACAACTGGCTGGGGGAGGTGAGGGGAAGGGAAGGGCAGGAGGGGGAAAGGAATGTACTCCCAACACACTTTTAGGTTTAATACGCATTATTATTTTTCTCCACTACTTTCTTAAGTCTAGGTAATCAATAAAATAATAATTTAATCCCTAATTTGTAGCATTGTGTATTTCCAAGCTGTAAATGCTCATACTGAAATTTTAACAATCAGCCCTCAAGAGTCTTTTTGAGCTGGCTCCAGCACACCACTACCCCTGGCCATAACTCCCCAAATGTGTTGTCTTCCCCTAGAATATAAGCTCCTTAAGAGCAGGGACTGTTCATTTTTATATTTGTACTTTGTCATATTATGTTTCAATATATTTTGTATTTGTATATTATATGTACATATATAATACACATATATATGTGTGTGTATATCTGTGTATATATATCTGCCTAGGGCAGAGCACAATGTTTGACATACGGAAAGCACTTGATAAATGCTTTTTTTTTTTTCATTTTTTCATTGGCATCACCTTAGGGGATAGTGGATTCCCCCTCATTATTTTAGCAGAGGTTAAATGATCACTTGTTAGGAGTGTTATGGTATGGCTTCTTTTGAAGTCCCTTCCAACTCAAAATCTGTTACTCTGTGTGTCTGACCATCTGTGTCTTCATATTCTCACCCAAACCAAGGTCAATGAGAATAAAATCCCCAAGATAACAGAGATGGTTTAAAATGTCACAGAATCCTATTCTGCTGAAAAATATCTTCTAGATTTCCCAATGGGAATCTGTACATTGATGTTTGCAGGAAAGGGATGGAAATAAAATCTTTCTTACTGAAAAGAAAAAGGATTGATTTTTCTGAGTGTGTTAAGGAAAAGAGACATTTTTCACTGTAGGAGTCAGATGAATAAATGAGAATAGATGAGAAAGATATCAGTATGGCATCTCCTTATCTAGCCCTGGTGAGGAGATATGAATAAGTAAGTTTTCCACATATCTAAAAAATTTCCTCTTGGTGCACCAGAGGTTTGTTTTTTTGGTTTTTTCCAGTCATTTTGATAGAAATCTTCCTGATAGAAATCTTAAACTGGGAGGCCTGCATTCTAATTCTGCCCTGCCATTCATTTATTGTGTAACTTTGGAGAGGTCAAAACGAAACAGTTTTCTTATCTGTAAAATTAGAAGATGGGGTCAAATCACTGAAGTTTTTGATATTATCTATGAAGTCAGATAACCATGTTACTTAGATTTGTGTGTAAGAAAGTAAAAATTCTTACCCTCAAGAGATGACCTGAGGATCTCTTTTGTAAGGAAATTCCATGAGCTTTACTGCATGAATGTGAGACATCTCTTTTGGCCACTCAAACATCTATTGTGTTTCTTTCTGGATTCTCAGCTGTGTTCTAAACAATTAAGAGCAATGAATAAACACCTACTGTAGGAGATATTGCTATTTGGGCATTACAGAAAGTAGCATGGTATATAGAAGTGATTTTAGAGACAGAAGATTTGGACTGAACTTTCAATTCTTACCACCTGGGAACAAATCACTTAGAGTCTGAGTGGGGTGTTGCCTTATGACTGAGTCCAAGTTTTACAGAACAAATCCTTTTATTAAGGGGATTTGTTCTGTGAAATCTGAATTCAACCAAAGGCTGTACTCAAGAATGTAGAAGGCCATTTAGATAGACTATCTAAACTTGAGGTTCTTATCTGTAACATAATGAGTTAGATGAAATGATCTCTAAAGTCTCTTTCAGTTCTTATGATCTGATATATAAGCAAAGTTTAAAAAAAAGCAGAGCTTAGAATCAGGAGGCCATGGTTTCTTCTGAATCTGCTATAATTTTGTAACACTGCACGTTTGACTTTAATCTTCTCAGGATTCAGTTTCCTTATCTGTGAAGTGAGCATAACACTGTGATAAAGCCCCATTCCTAATTCATGGGGATGTTGTAAGGACTAAATGAGATTAATAAATGAGAAAATTTGAGAATAGAAGTGTTATCTATAGTAAGTACACTATAATCTTGCTCTGTCAGGGCTCACCCTACTACATTGCCCATTAGGGTTCTAAGTATCCTGAGGAATTTGTAGAAGAATCTTTTCTCTGTTATTGGCTCAAGCCTTATGTTCCCTCACCCCATTTGTAGGGCACCAATGACTAGCAATCCAGTTATTTAACCATGTAACACAAATTGGCTTTTATAAGAACAAATATGAAAAATAATTCTTCTGAACATCTCAGGGGTTCCCCCTATACTTAGCTCAGTCTATGCAGGAAGGGAGAGAT